GTAAATATGAGTTCCCTAGAAGAATATTGAATAAATTGATTGTATTTATTATTTTAATTAGTAAACTTTTTATAGATATTTTAAAAGATATTGTTTTCTATTGTTTGATTATTTTATTCTAATTAGAAATGTTTAAATTTTGATTTACAAAAGAACGCTAAGAAATCCCTTGAATTTTCTCCGTGTAGTATTTGTCCTGCGGTCGAGTCCCCAACAAGTGGGCAATTGCGATTATGTCCTTGTGGGCAAGGGGCAGTCTCGGGCCAATTCCTGGCAAATGAAGTGCCGCCGCAGCATTTGATTATAGGTAGCGTTAGCGACTCCCGAACCGCTTAAATCGCGTGCGAGTGTGTGCTCGGTGTGTGTTTGCATGTCTTGAGTGTTCCGGCAAGGACATTCGGCGCGGCTCACCTATTGATTACGGCCAGCTCACAATGTAAGTAAATTGCGGAATTACCGGCTCGATTCGTTGATTACTCAATCAGCAGTCAATGCCGGATTTCCGCCTGGTGGAATTGCTAATCCTTGCCAGGGTTTAATCCTGGCATTGGGGTCATGTTGATGACTGTGATTATGTGCATCAATTGGTTAATGATGTGTCTTAATTGGAAATAATTTCCCCATTTTCTAAAAGAAAACTATTTGTATATAAAGAAGACTTTGGAGACTGTACGAAGTATGTCTTTTTAACTGTTCAAGCAAAAGTCTGCTTAATATACTCTTCAATACTTCAAACTCTACCTTAATTTGAAAGTCTGCTGCTTCTAAAAATGTAAGTAGCACAGTTTAAGTGATGGCATTTTGCACACTTACCGAGATAGGTTCTTCTGGCTCCCTTCATCTCTGGCAGATTCCCTGCTAACTATTTGAATGGGTTTTAGTTCTTTGCCCATTTGTTTGGCGTAGACATACTTGGAGCTGAATGGAGCTGCAGCTGCCTGGAGGCGACTGGCTTCCTCCTTTCAGCAGGACTCATCAGAGCTCAAACCACAATAAAACCGCAGCGAAACCCAAAAAAGAAAAAAAGAAAGGAAAAATTATGAAAAATAAGACCGATGCTGCAGTCAAGCATTCATGCATTTCACCCGGCTATTCACACTCATTCATCGCGAGATGAGCCGGCCTTAAATTTGCATAACAAGCGACAAAAGTCCCCCGAATCATAATTATGTGCAAACAAACGCGGCAAATGCAATTTCAATTAAAAAAGGGGAAAAGTGAAATCGAAGTCGCTGACAAGGGGATGACAAGGGGCTGGCATCCCCACTTGCAAGGCTTCCCGGCAACCGCAATACGCACTGTTTCGCCTGGGAAAGGGAGCGAGTTGAGCTGCGCTGAAGCGAAGTGAATGCCGCCGAGTGGCAAGTGCAACAGCAGCAGCAGCAGCAGCAGGAGGAGGAGTAGGAGCGTCAGGTGCACTGACATTGGGCACACGAATGGAGCTGGTTCCCCTTGAAAAGCCTCCTCCCGCCTGTTGACCCCTTCTCGAAACCCATTTCGAGTGACTGCCAGTGCCAGTGCAATTTTGTTGCCAACCTTGAGGACGCCGCTCTGGCAACTCCTGAACGCCTGCTAGTCCAGAGTCACGGTTGCAAGGGCATCGGCGTCGGGGATTTCCACTCAACCCAGGCCCAGGCGTGGGTTGATTTCCTTTTCGTATGTACCTTGTACCTCTGAGCATCGAGAGTGTATGGGAACAGAGCTGTAAGCTTTAAGTCAGCTTCTTTTTCATTTTCTGACTAAAAAATTTGTTAAAATTAAATGTATATAAATTGCAGAATGTCGAAATTAACAAATTTTAAGCTTTGAACTAATTAAAGTTCAAATAGTTCAAAAACTGTCCTTCCAATATAAGGGGTTGCTACAGAAAATAATCCAGGTTTAAAGAAACCTAACCTAAAAAAGTGTTCTAAATGAAGGTGTACAATTTTATATAGAACATTGCATACTTTTAGACATTAAATAGTTGTAAAAATCTTTGTGATTTATTCAACACTCTATTTCGTTGTTAATTTTATTTTAATTATTATGTGCCTTATTTTGAATAGAAAATAACAGGTAACGTAAAGTCGAAATGCTTACTTGTTGTTTCAAATTTCAGTTGTTTTTCCTTTTATTTTACGTTGGTGTTTTTTTTGATTTTTTTTTTCCTGAGCTAGCAATGTCAACATGGCAGTCAGCCAGAAAAGCTTCCAGCTCCGCTTCTCCCTTTGCTCCTGCTCCTGTTTGTGCCCCTCATCATCGCCGTCATCAGTGTGCGCCTTTTTGTGTGCATTGTTGTGCCAAGAGGGTGGCAAGTGGCAAGCACCAGAGGGGGCAGGTTGCAGCGCTCAGTTGCCATTGCAGTTAATTGAAAATACTAAATTTCCACTGTCTAGACGGCAAATTATATGACAATTGTTAGAGCGCGCATGTTTGGCTTTCATATTAAAATTAATTACTCCGGCTGAAATTTTGCATAAAAATTTCTGTGAAAGCCATAAACAATGGGGCCATTGTCTCACGGGCTTATATTTATCCAAATGCTCGTATGGCGAGTGTTGTTTCTGTTTAATTTCAGGCCAGTGGGCAAGGAGTTACCATTAATCCCGCTCGAAAAGACTAAGCCTTTGTAATTAGAAAGCGAAGGCGACAATCGAAGGGGTAATTAGGGAAAGCGCGCGCTGCAGATTTGCGAAATTTCACACGCTTCAGAGGCCCCGAAAACGGCTCATAATTGCATGATGGCTGCCAGCAGGACAGGAAAGACAGGAAATCTCACCGACACAACGCCAAAGGAGGCCAGGAAATTGCGCAAAATTTGCACAATAATTACAAGCGGAAAGCGGGGAACGACCTGGCCCGGACACCTTTTGACGGCCACTGGCCCTCACTCACCTCAGTGCGCACACAAAACAATTATTTGGCACTTAATAAACAATGAAATTGAAAATTTAAGGCGCTTATCGGCGTCAGTTTGCGGCATATGCAAATTTCTGTGCAACATTCATGTAATTACAATGGGCTTGTGGCCCTTAGCCCTTGGCCTGGTCCTTATATTTATATATGGCCCCTATATTATGTACATCCGTCTAGTTATGTAAGGGCTGCCACTGACATTCATTAGCCGGGAGTTGGGCCAAAACGGAGAACGAAGGAGTTGGCCCGGCCAGCTCGTAAATAAACTTTGGCAAGCTGCTTGCAACGGCTGCGTATGCAAAACATCTTCAAAATTGACTTTACTGATTTTGCCCTTTGCATTTTATTATGTGTTTATTATGCTAACAATGTGCCGAAAGTTTTCCGGGGGAGGCGATGCGAAGGATGTGGTTAAATATTTGCAGATGCAGCAGCCTCTGCTAAGGGGAGTGGCAGGAATAATTCGCAGATTTCATAGTTTAAATCTGAGAGATTTCTATAGTTTATCCTGACTTAGTTGGAATAATTAATGGTCTTGCACAAAAGAAACATGCAATCAATTTCTATGAATTAGTTAAAAATGTATAAAAATAAGATACAGATATAGATTCCTATTAAATTAGAAAACAATATAAATTGCAGCAATTTAAAGTTCGTATTTCTTTAGGGGAATTTTCCCCCTTATCAATTCATATCTTAAATCATTTCAATAACAAAATTGCCTGGGATATCAGATTCCTTGTGCTTAGGTTCCACCCTGCTGACCCTTCCGGCAATTGTGTTCCTTTCATCTTCTAAAAGCCTCATCGTTTTCATCCCCCTGGCCAGAGGTCACTCATACGCCCCATTGTCCGGCCAAAGTCGCCCTGCATTCTGGCATCTTGTCCAGCCATGTGTTTATCAATATGAAAGGTATGCGAGCGAGGCCAAGTCAGGCCGAGTCAATTAGTTGTCTCTTGCTTCGGCTGGATCCCTGGATTCATCCTGGATCCCTCCTGGCAGACAAATCCACGGTCTGGAGATGATTCGGGGACGGAGCACGAAGAGCGAAGCACTCCAATCTAGCACACTCAATGACAGCTGCAGCTCTGTGTGAGCAAACTGTAGCCACATTATTTTCATTATGCCATTGTGTCTGCCTCCTTGGCCTTTACCTTCGCTTTTGGTGTTTCTCGGGACAATATTTCTGCTGCCAGCAGACATTTGCATTTCATTTTTCGACAGCAAAAATATTTTTACAGGCAAACACACATACACAAACGTGGACAACAAACAGTGGGGCAGCGGGGTTGGTTTATATGGGCATTGCAAATAGTTAGACGACTTCCTTTTGTCTTTTGTCTGTGACCTGAGGGCGCAGCCAGCCAGGCCGGACCCCTCTCTCTCTCTCTGGGAGACGCCGATGCCTCCGTCTGCGCCGGTCCATCTGTCATTTTAAGTGGCTTATTCATATGCAAGTGGCTTCCGGGGCTAAGCATATTCAAGTGTTTTAGTGGCTCGTGTACATGACCGAGCATTATCATTAAGTGCTTATAGGCAGGACTCCCATCCCGCCTGTCGGGTGGGGTCGTGTGGGTGAACAATGACTGCTATTAACGCAAATTGATATGCCGGCTCTCCCCCTTCCCGTGAATCCCCTTTTTGCTTGACCCACACCTGTGTCAGGCTTTGGGGAGTGCTGGTCTTAATGGCCGCCGGAAGTTGCCGAAACCGTATTACGCATACGCACTGTGGCTCTTGACAAATGAAACCCCATCACTTTTACCACTCACCCGCAACGGAAAGTGCTTTTAATTAAATTACTTGAATTATTATTTAACCTTAAAAAATGAAATAACTACTTATATTCTTTTCCTTCAGAGTATTCTGCTGCCCCCTTGCCGCTGCTATGAAGGCAACGTCCAGCAGCTCCTGCAGCAGTGCCGCCAGCAGCTGCAATATTCCGGAGCCTTTGGCCTCGGCGGCGGCCGCTGCCTCTGCCACTCCGTTTGCCACTGCGTCGGTCAGTGGGGCGAGCACCTCTACCTCGAAGCCCCATCGCCTGAACAAGGTGTCGTTCGCTCCCCTGGATCTGCCCGTGCCCAGCGCAGCCACGTGATACGCGAATGCCAGCGGTGGCACCACCATGCCGCACCACAACATCGTCTGCGAGTGGCTGCGCACCATTGGGTTGGGCCACTACGGGGAGAGCTTCCTGGACAACGGCTACGACGAGCTGGAGATCTGCAAGCAGATTGGCGAGATCGATCTGGATGCCATCGGGGTGGACAATCCCTCGCACCGGGGCAAGCTGCTCAAGAGTGTGCGGATGCTGCGCGAGAAGGGCGCCGCCATTGTCTATGTGCTCATCAATGATCCCAAGGCGCTGAGCAGCAGCAACGAGATCCTGGCCTCCGACTGTGATACGCCGGTGACCATGAAGGAGCTGGAGGCGGTAATGAAACGACACCTAGAGGCCGATGGAATAAGGCTAACAGCGCATCCGTACTCCACGCCGGTGAGTCTATCTATACCTTAAGTATTATATCCAGGGGTAGCTATAAAGGTTTCACAAAATATACTCCAAATTAAATGTTTTAGTTTCCCGCTAAACTGTTTCCTTTAACTTTTATTTAATGGAAACCATTTTTCTGCTTTTCGCAACATTAAGTTAGTGTTAGCGGGCAAACTCCCCCAACTGTGCCAGCCACTAACCAGGCGATTGCTCTTATCTATGGTCATTTTGTTTAGGGCTGTGGCAATTTGCATGCTGCCACCACAGGAGACAGGACGTGAGCCAAAGGGGTTGCACGATGGTGCACGATGGTGGGGCTGCTTGCAGGGGATGCAACGTGTGACAGTCGTTCGGGGAGCTGGCGCTGTGTGCGCTCTAATGTGAAATTAACACGATTTTAATTTAGTTAAACCGAGTGGCCAACCAGCGAGGCCCCGCTGGGCCACCTCAAAGGCGCCTCCGTCGCCCTGCCATGTCCCAGCCGTTTTGTTTATTTTATTATATGCATGTTGGTCCCTGGCCGGGAAAATGATTTTGCATTGCGTTAATTTTGTTTATTTTTGCGCGTATTTTTTGGTCACTGCTGCTGGCTTAGAGATAAAGCTGTGCATTGTGGTTCTGCTGCGGGAAAAGGGGCGCCATTAAATGATCGGGCCAGCAAATTGGTAGAGCCAGTAAAGGACCTAGGTTTGAATACAGTGGGTAGAAACATGTATAGATATAATGAACCAAAGAGAAAGATTTCATGCTTAATGGAACTGTGTTCGTTTTCTTATATATACTTTTGACTTGTATTTTTCATAGAAAATATATAGACCTGTTTCTCGTCTCTCACACCACTGTTTCGAAATGAAAGAACTGCATATTGAAAGGCACTTGGCAGCCTCGTTTGCGGTGAGGACTTCTGCCGCCTTTGTCCACATTTTGTTGGGCGTGTGCATCCGAAAACATGTCAGTGGTTCAGGGCCGCCTGCATTCCGCCAAAGAAATGCAATCCAGTGCAATGCAAATAGCTGCCGAGCTACATATCTCTTTTAAAGCCATTTCCAGGGCCCAGAGGCAGAGGTGTGTGGGCGTGGCAGTCGTGCCTAGTGAGCACGAATATGCGGAGTGTTGATGGTTTGCCAGACACACGTCAGATGTGTCGATGCAGACTGCTTAGTATGCAGATCCAATCCAGATGCTTTTACTGAGAACTGTGAGAAAATAGAACAAAGAAATCTTGTAGTGCAATTTTTTGACTTGAAATATTGGTAAAAGGATTCTGGCTTATGTAGAATGCAGATGCAATAATGCACTTTTTCTAGGTGTATTTTCAGACCCTTTTCAGTCCCAAATAGCAGACTCCCTCGTTGCTATGTGTGAAAACTTCATCATAGCCCTGTCATGTGCCTCTGCCGTTTTGCATTCTAATTAGCGCCAATTGCTACATTTTTATCCTGGAGCTCTGTACTTACTCCGTACTTGGCATAGTTTGTGCTCCGAGAAGTGATTAAATATTTACGATTGTTGTCTTTGCGGTGCGAATCGAGATGGAGCTTTAATGGAATTGAATCACAGGCAAAGGCAAAGGCAATGGCAAAGAAGGGTTCCTGCCAAGGGAATGACTGCTGGTTAGACTGAGACTTGTTGGCTTCTGGGCTATCCTTTTCACCCCTCACCCCTCTGCCTCGTCGCGCTGTCTGGGCCAACTTCAACTAATTGCACTTTGCGCTGATGAGACAGACATCCCTCTGGGTGTGTGCAAGGGGCTGTGTGTCTAACTGACTGACAGCTGCAGACAAGTTGCATTTCAGCACAAATGTTTGCATGTGCATTACATGAATGCGACGCTAAATGAATTTGCCAAGCTCAAGGGTTTGCGGGGGCTCTAGTTCTGCGAACTCGAGGCGAGTCGCGTCGCGTCGAGTTGAGTTGAGGATGCAGGTGCAGACACCGATGCAGATACGGGATACGGATGCAGACGCGGATGCGGATGTGGATGTGGATGTGGATGCAGACGCAGATGGAGCAGCACAAAGGAGCACGATGCTGCCGCTTCAGTGACCGCTTTGAATGTCAAACAGGACACATTTAAGTGGCAGCCTCACGCTAATTACCGGAAGATATTAACACTTGTGCGTCTGCCTGGCTAACTCTCCTCCGCCTCGCTTGCAGGGGGAAAAGCTGCTTTTGACCCTGGCCTCAGTGGATTCCAGCTTCCAAGACTCCTCGGCAGGTTCTTGGCTGCCTCCGTGTGCGTATCTCATCTACTCCACACACAAAATGTGGGTCTGCGAGTGCGTAAGCGAGAGTGAATGAATTTGAAATTAGTTAACACAAGCTTACCCACAATAAATGTATATTCTTTTCATTTAAAATAACTTATTATCTCAATTAGTTCTCTTTTTCATTTGAATTAAATAATTGCTTAGTGAGTTCTCAGACTTATCGTGACTAATTTTCTCATGTACATGTACATTTACAGGAGGGCAAGAGGGGCTACCTGGAGGGCCTGGCCGCCCACTACAGCAAGCAGATCAACATGCCCTACGAGGACGTGCTGGACGCCATCGAGCAGGTGCGCCTGTCCAAGTGGAAGGAGCGCCACGTGCGCATCTCCACGGGCCACACGCTCACCCGCCGGATGGCCGGACCAAGTTCTAGCGGATTGGTCGGCTCCTCGGTGATGCCGACCAGCCACAGCCAGCCGTTGTATGTGCCCGGCAAGTACTTGGTAAGCGGATGCGGCGACCTCTGACCTCTGGCTTTTACGGCCAGAGAGGCTTTTACGACCTCCAGCTAATCAGACTCTAATTCATTTTCGTTACGTTTCGTTTATTATGCAGGCTCATGTGAGCGTTTTTATGTGTGTGCCTACACAGAGAGAAATTTATTAATTCAGTTTTATTAGTTATGTTAGTATATCTTAAGTCCAGTGATATAATGCGATGAAACTAAGGGGTTGCCCGGAATCTTTAATATATCATAACTTGGGTTTAAATTAAGTTGAAGTTTGAAAGAATTGTAATGCCTACAAAGAATGCAGGGAATATTTAAAGGACATTCCAATTCAAACTAAATTTATTGCTATTATTTACCCATTTCCGAACAATGTAAGCCACTAAAATAATTACAGCACAAGATGTAACTTGCATTATTTTAAACAACTTTAAATGCCAAAAGCAACATTAGATTCTTTATTTAAGTTCAACATAAACCAAGAAATGTGTTCCTGAGAACATGAAAAATCCGAGCACTTATTAAACCAATATCCAACATTGTTTTTCCCTGGCCACATGCAGCCTTCCAGCTGCCTGTCGAACCGCGAGGAGAACGAGATCTACAGCTACACGCAGAACGATTTGGCCAATAGGATGGCCCGCAATGCCATCGACTCGAAGTCGGCTCTGAATCTGAACGGGATGCAGCACAGCTATCCGGGAGCGCGCACCAATTTCTTTTACGACTTCTCGGCAACAGGTGAGGAGCGTGGGGCCAAGAGCGGCTAAAACCGACATGGTTAGAGACAGTTTGTCGGCTGTTTGGCTTTTATGGCTTTTAATTCAATTAAATTGGTTTGCGCTTAAACTTTGACTGTCTGGTTAATCAAATGACTGTCTGTTTGATTCTCGGTTTGATTGTTCGCCTCGCTGCCCCGCACTGAATCTGTGTATCTGTGTCTGTACATGTATCTGGCTGCGGATGTGCATTGGATCTGGATCTGATTGGCTGAACGTAAACCCCGCAGAGGGCCGGAACAAGCACAAGCAGCGGAGAACGGTCTTTGCCAGGTTCCTGCACGGTCTCCGGCAGAGCGGTGATGAGCTGAACGCCACGGAGGGAATGCAGCTGAAGGTGAGTCGGAGGTCGCAAATTGGGTGCCACTTGGAGCGGATGTGGACCTTTTATTGGCAAACCATTTCGTGTGTGACTGTCATTTCCGGTTTCGCAACAATGTTTATTGCCCACTTTTAGGCTTTTTGTGCTGTGTTTGTGTGGGCTCATATAAAAAACTTTTGCCAAGACCCATGATAAGAGAAATTAAAGGAAAGGTCGGAAAAACTGAGAAAATGTCAGCCAAAAATTAGAAAAAAAAAGTTAATGCCATTTGGGAGCTTAACAATTATTAAGAGGAGGTATATAATAAATATTCTTCTTGGAAGATATTGCTATTAATTTAAAGATATTTAAAGGAGTTTTTATTTTATTTCTTTACATTTATTTTTTGTATAGTGATAATATTAAGACATTATTAAATTCCATCTAGTCAGCCCATCTGACATTCCAGTTCAGCGTCATATAGTCGCAGACATTTTCATTAGCTGAGCATTTGACACTCCCTGAGCTGCCTCAGAATTATGAAAATGGAAAGAGTTTTCGCATTTTGGTCGCAGTTTAATTTCCCGCTCCCTATTCTAAACTGGAGGAAAGGGTCCACCTCCGCCTTCGCGCGCTCTCTCTCTCTCTCCCTTGTGGAAAGCCATGAAAAGTTCCATAATTTGGAGGCAACTTCAAAGCATTTCCTTGCCGCATTCAAAACAAAACAAAAACTTTGCCAATGCCCGCCGACCACAGCTCTGTTTAATGTCGAATTTTTGCCCTGGACAAGTTTGTTTTCGGGAAGCCGAAGAGCGAGGCTGGGACTACTTATAAAATTAAATTAAAATATAAAAACCGCGTAAACCTACAAATAACAACGATGGCCGCAGCAACAACAACAGCAGTTACTAGAAAAGTTCGCGTTCTGGGAAAATTGAAGGGGCGGAGGGGCGGAGGAGGCGGTTCGCTGGAAAACTTTATCAAGGCTAAGCCGATAAAAGGCAATTACCGTTAATTGCGTTGACTTGCGACGAACGAGCGGCGGTCCAGACCAGACAATGACAACACACAGCCGGAGCAAAGAGCACAGAGGGCCGGAGGAGTCCAAGGGTCGGGAGCGCAGAGTTCGGGGATCCGGTAGTCAGGGTCCTGGCACAAGGACATGTGCCGGATGCAAATGGCAGACTCCGAGATATGAACTGTCAATGGGGGCGAATGGTGGCCTGTGGTGGTACAAAGTCCAAGTGCCAGATACAAATGCAGTGCAAAGTGGGTTGTAGGATGTACTAATAGAAAATTTCGGTGAGTTCTAGTTTTAAATTGGGGAAGAACTAGAAAAAATGATTTACAGTATCTACTTCAGGGATCTTTTTTCAACCATAAAGGGAAATTTCTAGAAGTTTGGGTAGTACGTCAGTAAGAAAACCCAAAAGTTAATTATGAAAAAAGTACATGTTCAATTAAAGTATAAATATTTTAATAACTATAAATTCTAAATACTTATAAAAGCACCTTAAGAGATGTTATTTATCCGGTCTTGGTTTTACTATTGGTTTCATTAAATAAATCATGAATTTTCTCAATGATCTCAAAATATTTTTCTGAGTGCATCAAAAACTGAAAACTTCGGCGAAAAACAGAGAAAGGAATATGGGAGCGAGAACACCAATCGCATTTTCGAGGACCTGAGGAGCACGTTTCTGATGCTCCACGTTTCCCTGGTCATTTGCACCTTGGCGCTATTCGGCTTTGCTGCGGTTGTTATTCCGGATGTGGAAGGTGGCATGAGGATGAAGGTGGGGACGTGGACCCGGAGATGGAGGGATCTGTCAGAGCTACCTACCTACACACGATTGTCCTTTTTCCGTTCGCATTTGTTTTTATTATTTCAGGCGTGCCAAAGTGTTTTGTTTTGTGTGTCCATGGCCGTGCACTTTTCCATTTCCCTCAGATTTCCTTGTTTCATTTTTATTTTTTTCTCTTATTTTGGGGTTTCCGTGTATTTTTTGGGGTCCTCTTTGGTCCGGCGAGAGTTTATAACTTTTCGTGTTTTACGGTTGTTGTCCGGTTTTTCTTTGTGCGCGCCGTGTGCCCGCGTGCCCGCTCCTTGGCCGGCTGTTCATTTAATATTTAAGCACAATTTGCCGCTGCCGAGGACCCGACTGCTGCAGATTGTTGTCCACTCCGGCTTTTCCCGGCTCCAGTTGCGAGTTTTGCGGTCAATTTTGAAAATGACTTGGGCTAAGCACTGGCGACAATTGTGTTTCGTGTTGGGGACAACTTCTTTTGTGTGTGCGGCGTGTCCTCTGGCACTCATTACCTTTCTTTGCCTGCTCTGGCCCCAGCTCCAGCTCCTCTTCCCCAGTCAAAGGTCACCCGGAGAGCGTGTGGTGTTCCAGCTCCTAAGCTTGTCCCGGTCTACAGCTCTCATTATGCGGTCTGCTACGGAAACTCTCCGTTCTCCGCTCCGGGGACAGAAGGAGAAGGAGTCTCTGGCGCTGCTGGCCTTTCATTATACTCATTCGGCAGCCCGCCGCTTTTCATTTGGCATTTCCATTTCCATCCCGAAGTCCTGGCTGCTGCGGTTGTTGTTTTGAGGTGTCGATTTGTTGGGTCTGGCTCGAGTTAATGAAGTAATCATGGGTGGGCGCAATATGGCCGAGACGGAGTGGCAGCCTGCCCAGGACTTGAATTTATTCCACCTTGGAGTGTACTATATTTTGTTTTATGTTGCAGACCAACGAACGCCTGAGGAACTGCAGCACGATGAAGCGACCGGAGCCCCACCAGGACTTCGAGAAGACCATACAGAGAGTAAATATAAGATAATCTAGGAGGGTAATTCAAGGATAACTATTAAACTATTTCTCCGTACAGCTCAAGACACAGAAGGCGGCCCAGAAGAAGCCGGCCAGCGCTCCCCTGGAGATGGCTCTGCACGAGCGGAACAAGAGCGAGGTGGCCCACACGCACGTCAACGAAATTCCGCTGAACAACTATACGAAGCATCCCTAGGACACGGCCCTCGGCAGCGCAGCTGCTTAGGATCAGGATACACTCAAACTCACATTAATCAATCGTTGAATCAATCATTCTTCTCAATCAGGTGATACGCAATGTTAAGAGAGACGGGAGACGGGACACGGGATCATAATCATAATAGGATGAGGCTAAATAAGAAAATATAGCAGGACAACGAAACATTATCGAAGCACTCACAACCTAACAATAGAATGAGAATTAGGCATAGGAATAATATTTGAAGGCGTTGAGTTCAACTTACCCATAGGACTAATTGACGGACCCTACCTGATCAGCACCTGAACCCACTGTATAGACACCTGACCATTAATGAACAGTAAGCCTAGTCTAAGCAGCACTTCCGCCCTCCCCTTAAGCCACTGCCCATATGCGACACAGAGAAAAAGAACTGCGAACTTGGTTTACTTTCAAAACGAAATCCTTTTGGAAATGCTCTAGAAATCACTAGGGATTTAAAGACCTTAGGAAGGTGTCTGAAGTTAAGAAATAAATAGTAAAAAATACATACATTAAGTTCGGTGCCTAGGAAATTTCATTGAATATACGATTTTGTTTTATTAGTTTTGTGATTTCCGGAGCACCTTTTTGTTTGCTTATATTTTATTTTTTCAATGAACTTAAATTAATCCATATTTAATGAAAAAGATAATGAAAACCTTAAAAATAGTGAAAAACAAGAATCGTAATAATATTGCAATAGAAGAAAATGTTCATAAAATCCTTACATATGTTTATATTTATTGTTTATATTTTATTTTTTCAATGAACTTAAATTAATCCATATTTAATGAAAAAGATAATGAAAACCTTAAAAATAGTGAAAAACAAGAATCGTAATAATATTGTAATAGAAGAAAATGTTCATAAAATCCCTACATGCATTTTTTTTTATTATTTGAATTAGTTTCATCAGGACTATTCATTGAGTCAAATATGTAATCACTATTTCGACCACTTGCGATTACTTTTCCAGTTTAAAGATATGCTCCATATCGAAAAAAACCCAATTTCCAGATAATTTTTCTCTCTGTGTACGCACCACCATCCCCAACCGAACCAAATTCAATCTCGAAATGCTCTTGCCCCGAAGTCGAATCGACAATTATTTGGACACCCCGAGAAAGCCGCCGCAGAGCCAAACAGCAGCAACAGTCTGCGAATGCATCGACAACTGGCCGGGGGGAGAATGTTGACAAAACGCAAAAATCCAACAAGCTTAACGCTAAATCAACACGCACACTCGCACACAGTTGCAGGCTGGCAAACTTGTGCTCTAACCGCAGACGTTGCACAGACTCACCGACACAGGGACAGACAGGATACGGATTCGGCTCCGGCATTTCCGTTTCAACTTGGCACTGCATCGATTTTGGTCTATGGTTTTTCGGGGCCTGCAGCTGCGGGCCAACCTGGAGCAGGAGCTAAGGCCAGAGCCGGAGCTGGAGCTAGAGACGGAATGTGGCAGTGGCTGCTCTGCCATTTGCCTTTTTTGCATTTTAATTGCATGTTGCGCCCGAAAGTATGCAACTTGTCCAGCCCGCATGTGTGTGCGTAGCTGTGCAACTCTGTTTTTGCAATGTGTGCCTGTGTGTGTGACAGTGATGGGAAATATTAGTTATCATTATTCACAAAATAACAAAAAATATATAAAAGTATTATCATAGTTTTTTAAACCTGTAAAAAAGTGTAAAAGCTTAGACTAACAAATTTTAAACTTGTAGAATAATTTACACTGAATTCGGAACCTTTAAAATATCATTAAGAGTCTTAAGAACACAGAAAGTTCAGGTTCAAGACTAAAATTAAATATATACGTAATTAAAAAAGGAGGTAAAATATTTACTTTTGTTTATTTGATTAAATTTCTGTGTTATATAAATGAGTTCCAAAATTTGTTAGGCTTTATTTGTTGCTCCAAACAAACCATTAATTTAAAGGACATTTGATTACACACCTTGTTCCCTGAAAAATACAAAGACACCAACTTTCCCATCACTGTTTTGTGACAGCAAAGGCGATTTGCATTTTTGAGCCGGCCAAAGGCATTCGAAATTTGTTTTTAATTTTGTTTGCTCTCTGGCCGAAAGGCATCCCGATGGTCGATGGCCATTTGCTCGCGGTTGTCTTTACCCATCCCCCGCCTCTCACGGGCGAGAGAGACATCCGGGAAAAGTTCTGGGCATTTCGGGGCTGCAGCTGCGTTTATTATTAAATGTCTGCGGCGTCGCGTTGAGCTGCCAGAAAATTGAAACATTTAGCGGCTACGTGAGAGTGCGTTTGCCAAGGGATCGGCCGCCATTTTGAGGCCCGTTTCCGGTTCCGCCTGTCGCCGAAACTGCAATTAGCTTAAGCACTTGTTTCCCCCGGCCCCCGGCCACCATCCTTCCGCCACCCCGCTTAAAACTCGCCGAAAAGTTTCAAGAGCTGCCATGGCAGCCATTTAATATTTTATGGAATTTTTTGTTCGATTTGCTTCGAGCGTGCGTTAACGTGCAATTAACTCAGCCAGGCCTCGATGATCGTTTTATTTAAATTTAATTAAATGCAGCACAGAACAGAGAATCCGGCCAACCAACCAGCAATCAGTTACCAGCAACCAGCCACCAGCCACCAGCAACCAGCAATAGTGAAAAATAGTATAGACAAACAAACAAACAAATGCAAACAGTGAAAAAAGGTGAAATTAAATATAGGCAAAGTGAAAACAAAGCAACAAACTCTGGACGGGCAGTCAAGTGTAAAATTGTGCGCCAGCTTAATATACATATAATTGTTAAATTACCAATACATAGGCATATACGGATACCGATACATACATACATATAGAGACAGCTTCCCTCCCATACAGAGGCACGCATCCAGTCAAATGGCCAAAAACAATAAGAGCAATCAGCCGAAATAGACCGGCAATTAAAGCGTAAACTGTAAAATACAAAGTCAAACTCGGCCCGGCACGCTCGCTTTAATTTGGACAAATAATAAAAACTGATTGAGAAGTGCACACAGATCCCACACATGGTAACCTAACAATAACAATAATAATAATAATAATATTAATAATAGCCATGGCATTTATGCCAATCAAGCGATGGCATACGTTGGGACATACGAGATGTCCAGGACAATTAATTTATGCGGAAGCGCAATCATAATTTAAATTAGGACGGCCCGAGTGAGCCGTAAATCAATAGGCAATAGACTTATTGACACAGATCTGGGACGGGGCAATCAGAGGAGATGTCATAGTTTACAAACATGGTCAGGAGCAGACACTCACTTGGCCCACAACAAATCACAATAAGCGGAGTCTGCAATCTGAGACTTCCGGAGAGGACCGACAGGCGTATAGGGTTATATATTTATTAGTTTGCTATCGATACACAAGAATATAGGCCAACAAATATATACACGCTATATATATCGACATTTAGCCACATACGAATATTTACAATAAAATTTCAATTTACATACGTAAGTGTTTAAGCAAAAGGCCAAAGCATTTCAAATGCAAATGGAACACGGCAGAAAAAACGGAAAAAACGGCAAAAAAGTACGCAAATTGATTGCCAAAATAAATAAATGAATAAAAAATATGTATGAGAATAGAGAACGCGTGAGAGCGTGTCAGAATTACCCGACTTTATGCATACATAGTGAATATATTTACAAACGCATATGTATAGTTATATTTATATGTATACACACACACGGACCCCTAGAATGTAAAGTGTTTAAAGCAAATATTTAGCCAACGTATGCCCCGAATGTTTTGCAATTGTAATCAAAACAATATACAAAAATACAAAATTGGCAGAGTCGGAAAAAGAGTAGGCAAATTTGCATACGTTATGAATCCAATATTTTTAAAGTTCAGTTCTCATAGCAATAAAGAGTTTTCCCAAAATGTACAGCCTCCCGCCAGGAGTTTCTTATTTCCACGAAGGACCTTGGGTGGGTGTGGTGCAAATGCAGGTGATGGCTTCCATCAATGTCTCCGTCCTCTCACGTGCTCCTCTGGCGGATGATTGATGGTTGCTCCGACGCTTCCCGCAAGCCGAGATTGCTCTAAGCCACCTCCTCCCCCTGTTCCTCCTCCTCCCGCTGCCTGCTGGGGAAATCACAGGAAGTGGAGTAACCAAGACTCACGGGTCACACCGGAATATATCGGCGAACTGAAACTTAAGGCAGTTGGTGAGGCTGGGAGGAGGATTCGTGTGGTGTCTAATAGCTGAGATAAATTCTGGGAAATAAGTCTTTTAGTGATTTGATAATAACGCTGTCTTGTCGCAAATGCTTCCATAAAGATACTTTTTATGGGACCATAGCACTGGCGTTTAATAAAGTCCAAAGATTGCGCTCTTTGTGTTTTATGTTATTACCTTACTAATACTTTATTACTTTATTACTCAACTCTCATTAATGCTAATAATTTGAGAACATACATTTGGGTTTGCAGGTCTGATGACCATATTCTATATACTCAATCTATCCTCTGTGCCATTACAAATATTTATTTTTCATCGAGATCGTCTCACCAATTATTTGCATTCTATGAAAAATACACATCTAAGCATATTCCCACAGCGCAAATCAGGGTTCAAGGATTCCAGGTCCTTGCATATCCCATTAAAACAAATGAAAGCAATTTGTGTGAGAACTACGGATAAAGAGTTGTGTGTTTGAGGGCAAGAAGAGGGAAAAATAAAATGCAGTGGCAGGTTCCTACTCGAATATTCCCAAACAAATATGCAGGACCACCCCCTATGTGCCACCCGTTCCTCTCTGCCTTCATTCGAAACTCGAACGTGTCATTGTAAGTTCAAGTGTAGCCAAGAGTGGAGAAATCGGAGGCGGGGCGGGAGCAGGAGGTGCAGCTGGATCAGGAGGAGCAGCTGGGGCAGGAGCAGAAGTCCTCCAGCTGACTCCTCTGGAAGCGGACGACGACGAGTGCTGATGATGATTGCTGGCGACGC